AATCATTCTGATTAACATTCTTTTAGATCTGATATTTGTAATTTCTTCATCTGTATTGTTCTATATCATTGAATAAACATTTTTCCATATATTTGTTCAATTTCTTACACCAAATCCTTTTTATATCAATTTATTATACTTCCAATAACATCCTTATATTTATTAACTTTACAATTTATACATATATTTTTTATTTAGATCATAACTTAATATTTTTTTTTTTTTGTTTTTTATTAGTTATGAATTAAATTATTTTAATGCATATAATAAAACTTTTTTATTAAACAATAAAAGTTACATTAAAACAAATAAAAAAGAGAACACATACGCATTTGATTATTTTCATTACTATATTTTTCCCATAAATAATTGATTAACGCATTTCGAAGCTCAAAGTATGCTACTTTGTCTTTGATTTGTTATAACAAGCGAGAAATTGTTGAGATTGGTTATTATCATTCATCACCGTTTCAACCTCTATCGGTGGCACTTCTCTTGCAACTTCAATTGGTGCATCGAGATCACGTTCATCCTCAATTATCATGTTATATAAAATAATACATGTAATCATTATGTGAAATTAGCATGTCATATCCAAAGATCATAATATATGACAGTTTCAAGAATAATAGTTGGTGATCCACCATGACCCGCATATTGCCTAGCCTAGGCAGTTGGACAATTTTTTCATTTCCAGTGCATGCAATCTAAGCTCCCAACATTCCTGGAAAACCTCTTATTTCACCAATATAGAGAAGTCTTGCCACATCATTAGCAGTTGGTGATCTCAAATACTGCTCTAAAAATATTTCCACCATTGCTCGACAAAATCTCTTCATACTTTCAGTTGCTGTTGATTTTTCTATCTTAACATATTCGCCGGTGGAATCTACTGCTTGACCATATGCAAGCATACGAAACACAACTGTTATTTTCTGGAGAGGAGATAATCCAAGTCTACTAACAAGATCCCTCCATTGTGCAAAATACCTATCATGAAACTTAACTTCATTAACAATACGAAGGAATAATAAGCTGACATTGGAAATCATTGGCGAAACATGGCATCATTGTACAATGGGGATTCTGAAAGGTAATCATTAAACAACCTGGAATTTGGCTTTCTCGATCATGACTTATGAACAAACGCCAAGGTATTGAGCCACTGTGGTTCACCCGATTATTTGTTGATTCGAAATGTGTTGGATGAGCAAGTTGTTATTAGTGATGGAGCGAGATATTGCTTCTTCGTCAAAACTGGATATAATTTGCAAATTTTCATCGTCTGAAGAAGATTCGGAAAGGAGAGAATGCGAAGTATTTTCGAAGTTAAAATTCATTTTGAGAGAAAACTTGTAAGATTAATAAAAGTATGAAGGTATTGGTGGTTCTTTGTACTCAATATTGAGTGCATATATGATTAAAATAAAATCACATGGAAAAGGGTTGTGTCAGTAGTTATCAAGATTGCACGTATTCTTTACTAGATGACAATTGCATGTAGTGTTACAATTGTATCTTGTAATTCACATATATAATGAAAGAATTTCAGTAGAGGACAATGCATGTATTGGATAATGATATTTGATAAAAAGTACAAATGCATGGACATTGCATGCATCGGATAATTAAAAAGGTGTTGTAGTGAAGTACTTTTCACTAGATGTATGTAAAAAAACTTTTACATGTAGTCTTTCACTTCTTGGTTAGTTACTTCACGGTTGTACTAAATAATTTTCATGTTGGCTATAAATATATGGCAACAAATGAAAACATAACTTACTAGATACAAAACTTTAGATGGAAGATAAACGAAGTGCTGCTGAATACATAAAGGATGAGGACAAACTTTTATGTCAAGTTTATATGCAAATTGCTCAAGACCCCATTAAAGGTGTGTATCAAACTAGTGACCAATTTTGGTCCCGTGTTGAAGGAACTTACAACAATGAAAAAGATACCACTTGGACTGTTCATCCAAAGAGGTCACTCCAATCGAGGTCACTCCAATCTCGAGTTCTTCTTATAGAAAAAGCAACAAGAAAACTGCATGCATGCATTAGGCAATACGAAAACAGACATCAAAGTGGTGCTTCAAATGATATTGTAAGTGTAAATGTATACCATATTTTTTTAGATTATATTAAATAATTAACTATTTGTTTATGCAATTAGATCAAGTCAAACGGATGTTGTCAGAAGATCCAAAATTTAAGAATGGTTGGAAATTTAATCATATTTTGGAGCATTATTAAAGAATTTGAAAAGTTTCATGATGGAAATACTCGTACGAAACAAATACCAATACCAATACCAAACCGAGATGGTTTTGGATGTGTCTTCAGGGTCCGAAATTTAACCCCTCAATCTGCTAGAAACGCATCTCCAGAGTTGTCTTCATTTTCTTTGAATTTAGAAGATAGTGACGACATAATTGGTGGTTCTATATCTCAACGACCAATAGGGGTGAAAAAGGCAAAGTTGAAACGAAAAACAAATGACCAAACATCAATGCTCGTCAATAACATTGAAGAAGGAAATAGACAACTTTTAGAGCAATTGAAAAAAGAATCGACACAAACAGAACTCTTTTTGGAAATGCGACAAACCAAAGAAGAAAATAAAATATTGTTCGTGAATTCAATACATATGAGCATATGTCGAGACCGAACAAGCACGAATTTTTAGAGAAAATGACTCAACATCAACAGACCCCACTTACATGGACTTAGGTTGGAACGATTGGATGATCTGGAAGTGGGTTACCAGATTATTAGATTTCTAGTATTTTCATTTCAGTGTTATTATGTATTTTTAAATTTTCGTCGATTATGCTTTCATCTTTTATATATTTTACCATGAGGGACCAAAAATGTAATTGAAAAAGTGGTGTAAAAAGTAGTGTAAATCAATAGTGTTCCACCAAATAGTGTAATACTATTCATTACACTAAATTTAGTGTGAAAAATAATGACCTCATTAGAGATGTGAACAGTGAGCTTTACATTAAATTTAGTGTTTAGTGTAAGATTTAGGATTTGATAATACATTGCTGATAACCCTATTCAAGTACACCTATAGGATAGCATTAATGCTATTTTAAAGCCAAAATTTGTGAGAGCCATCTTAAAGAAGTTAGACATGTGATGTTATTTGGTAAACATTTGATCTTTTGTGTTTAAGTTTTTTGGTACACAATTATAAACATTTGATCTTTTGTGTTTAGGTCTTTTGGTACATAAGATGGATATGCAGACTACATGGGACGGGACAGGACAAAAAAAATAGTCTCATGTTTGGCATGCCATGGACAAAAATTACATGGGACAAGATGAGACTATTTTTAAATTTGACGGGACAAAAGTTGATAATTTTTGTTCCACAAAAAAAGGTGGAACAACATAAGACTAAATGTAAATTTACTACCTTACCCTTAAACCCAATAGAAAACCTAAACCCCCCTTTGCCCTCGTCTCTTTCACACCCACACCAGCCACAGACCTCTTCCACCACGAGAGCTCTTCCACATCGTGAGGTCTGATCCACGCCATCTCCTTCCACCGTCTCCTTCCACCGCCTCCTTCCATGTCGTCTCCTTCCACCGATTTCTTTATTGCGATTTTGTTGTAACGATTTCTTTATTGCGATTTTGCTGTATCTCTTTCATTATTTCTCTTTTGCTGGCATCAAAACCCACAACTGTAGTAGGAAAAAAGAAAGAGGGAAGAGTTTTTCTTTGGGTGTAATTAGGGTGTGGATGTAGTTTGGAGAAGAAAAGAAAAATAAGATAAAGAAGGTGGGTTTTTTTTTAATTTCTATGGTATCTCTTTATTTACATGTGGGTAATATTTAAACTTGATTATAAAAACTTGTCATTTTTTTGGATTTATATTTAATGTATTAAACTTGATTATAAAAACTTGTCATTTTTTTGGATTTATATTTAATGTATTAAACTTGATTATAAAAACTATGTAATTAAAATATATTTTGGTTGATTTGTTGTCATTTTACAATCATTATATGATATAAAATAACATTAAACATTTAAGGGTAATATGATCATTTTAACAGTTTTGTCATGTTCTGTTCTAGTTGTACCAAACATGGGACATACAATTATTCTCGTCCCGTGTTGTCCCGTCATGTCTCATCCAGTCTGCGTACCAAACACTACCAAAAGAAACATTTGAATGTTGGGTAAACATTTCAACTTTTGTGTTAATGAACATGATGTTTAAATCTTTTGATTTATGAATGTGAGTTTTTAATTAATATTGATTTTAGAATATATTTTTTTGTATTTTTAAATAGTATTTGTTAACATTTATATTGATTATTTAGTGAAAAAAACACTAAACAGCTCACTGAATATAAATTGGTCATTTTAACCTGTTCTGTCATGTCTAACCAAACGCTGAACAACTATCCTATCATGTCCTATCTGTGTACCAAACACACCCTTAGAGATGGTCTTAACATATCAAAACATCATAACATTCTCATACTTTTCCCACTTGCATTCATATATTCTTTTCCCATTAATAATAAGGATCCAAAAGATACAATAACTAAAACTACCTAAATTAACACCATTAATACCCAAATTCATCAGGTCACCAAAAGACTAGAATTAAAACCCCGGTTTGTCGGACTGACATAAACGAACGCTTCTGCCACAAAATTTCACACGTTATCGCTACTCCAATCCCATACAACCTTATATGGCAAATCCGAAGAATTCCCGTCCTTTGTAAGATCCCAAACCCTCCTGAAGACCGCAATCTGTGATGCAAACCCAGGTTCCACCCCTTCGACTCCACCAACCCCACTAAATTTGACACTGTAATTATGCTTTTCAGCAAGTTCGGAGGCCCACATTCTGAACTGCTCTCGGGTCCACTCAAATTTGTGGTCAAAGTTGCGAAACTTGCAGGGTTTTGTCTGATTTTTGTCTTCTGTGTCTTCTTCTGGAGTTGATTTCTGAAGTATGACATTGTACTCGTAGTTTGGAGTGGAGACAATAAGAATTTTTGGACAAAAAGAGCTCAACACAACGTGGCCGAATAAAGTTGCTTCATCTTCCTCCATGTGCTCGATCACCTACCATGACGACAAATTCAAACGGTTGATACATGTGAAAAATACAAGTCAAGAACACCAAATGCAAGTATACCTGATCTAAAAAAATGTTAAACATCCAAATTTGTGAAGACCTGGCAAATTTCAAGACATTCTGGTGCATATCATCTAAATCAAACCAAACCAAACCAAACCAAACAAACACGGTATATCCCGACCCAAAGGTAGGGTTTGAAAATGGTAGGAAGTACGTAAACCTTGCCTCTAAATCAAAAGACTAATCCTGGCAGATTGTTTCCAAGAAGACCACTGACTTTTTTTTTGAAGGGTGTCCCAGGCTATGCCTGGACTAAGCCTGGCAAATTGTGACTGCAAGAAATCAGTGCTGATAAACTTAATGACCACAATTGTTGTGTACGCCTGGAATTGAACCTTAGGCAGATGGGATATTCCACCACATTTCCCATGGCCTCAACCACTACACCACAACCCTTGTGGTTAAGACCCCTGACTTGTGGTGCATATGATCTTAATTTTAACAAATAAGCATACATTTTCTACAACTTATTTCTCTGGCAGTAGTTGCATCCTCAACGTGGTTGTGGACAAGTGAGCCAATGGTGCAAAGATAAAAACATATGATAAAAAAAATAACCTTTAGCCTTTTATGTATGTTTGAACCCTTGGTACAATCCCATTCACACTAAAACCTGCAGCAGCAGGTTATATGATCTTTTCAAGGTTTACTAATTAAATATCAATGTTCAAATTGAAGTATATTCACTCCCTTCATCTCAAAAATGCACTGTTCGACTTAGCACATGGTGTAAACAAATGTTTTGATTAGTGACCAAATATTTTAAAAAGGGTATTCGCCACCCTCTAGAGCGCCCCCACCAGCCACGGCACTGCTACCGCAACCATCGTGGGAAATGAAAATCACTGTGAGTCAGTAGCAGGTGGTGGTGTGTGGGACCTCCTTACGGGATGCCCACCATCCTAACGACCGCTTAGGCTACACATGGGGACAGTGACCAGATATTTAAAACGCCCCTTAACAAGACAAAATAAAAGAGACTTGTAGACCAAAATAAGATCCAAGAGGTGGTTACTACTTGGGAACAAAAAGAAATTAGGATTCGACAAATAATTCAAAGAAAATATTGCATTTCTGATTTTCTGGGACGACCCAAAATGAAAACTATTGCAATTTCTAGTTTCCTAGCTTTCCTATGACCACCCTAAGAAAAACTTCCACTGATTTAAAAGTTTGGATGTTGATTAAGAACTTCTCACATCATTGTAAAGAGATCATTAACTCGGACCAAATATCTTTGAACAATTATGGCATTTGGCACCTTTTCATAACATGTTCAAAGGCAAACTTTAGGTTTTTAGCCTAACAGATACGAACGCTAAAAAAATTGAAAGCAGCAAGAAACCTCTTATACCAATGTCCTACCCACCAGGGAAACCTCTAGGGGTTGAAACAGAACACATATGATATACTCCCTCCATCCCAAAATAAGTGTCCACATTTCTATTTTAGTTTGTCCCAAAATAAGTGTCCACTTCCAAAAGTAAGTGCCTACTTTCCAAGTCTACCCTTCATTAGTTAATTATTAGATGAAGAAAATCTCTCTACTATTAAGGATAAAATTTTAAGCACTCTACTATTAAGGGTAAAATTGTCATTTATAAATAAAAAGTGGAATGATACACAATTCTAAAGTTGTGCCTTTCTCATCATCAACATTTATTTTGGGAGAGGGAGTAACTGGGAATGAAATTTGCTACCTTTAATCTAGTTGTAAAAAATAGAGATTCGCTTACCTCTAAGCAGGTTCCAATATCACATCCGTACACTCGAGAATCAAACGTTGTGATGGAACCTTCTAAAAGCAGAGCAGATTTGATACCACTGCCTTGAACTGGACTGGTCGAATTTTGGCTTAGCTTTGAATGAAGGGTCTGTAAGATAAACCAGAGAATATTAAACCATGTAGCATGTGAAAGAAATGGAATATACATTTTACAAGAATAATTCTTTGAAGAGGTGTATAATATAGGATGATACATGAAAAAAAGCCGTATGTATATATCTCACCTTTGCTGCACGAGGGAGGGCTTTATATGATATGTCAACACCAACAATTCTTTCCAGTGACGTTGGATAGTCCAATAAAGAGTCCAACAAACTTCCAGAGCCACAACCAAAGTCAACCTGCCATAAAACCAAGATGATCCCTTTGTTAACTTCAGAGAAGCAAGACAAGTTTTCAGATTTCCGAACATACCAAAAAAGTTGCACAAGATTCTCTGATGTGTTGCACTGCATATTGAACACGCTGTTTTGATAAAGAAGGACTAAAAAGAGCCTTTTCCATTCTGTCTTCTAAGGGTTCGGTAACCAGCAGCAAAGTCGTGGAGAATTCCAGGCTGCAACCACCTATTACCCATACAATTAAAATGTAAAAAGAAACCATAACAGAAAAAAAATTTGAAATGGACTGAAATTTCATCCAAGCATACTTGTCAATAGCCTCGTGCAATAAGCTAATAATCAAACTAACCTGAAGAGAGTAAGGAGAGAGTCCGGGTGGGATCGCCATTTGCTGCAAAAATCAACTCTTGAGGAGGCAACTCCACTCTGAAATTAGCAGATTGTCCCACACCCATCTGTGCCACAACTGCTTCAAGGTCAGGAGTAACAGCCTCACTACCCAACTCAAATTCAAATTCATCATTTTTCTCAATGAGTTCTCTGTCTCCTTCTTTGACTAAGCATACACTGTAGCATATGCAAACTAAACACCCATTTGATGGAAAATTTTCAGAGTCTTGACCATCTATGTTATAAGAGCATATGGTATCTGCAAGCTCACTATTTGATTGATTTGTGCCATTAACTGCTAACAATCTTTTCGTGTTAGCTTTAATGCCTGGCCATGACTTATGCACTAACGAGAAGAACTGCAATTCCTTCGATATATGTTCAGGATAGAAGTCGAGACCGAGACCATTTCCATTGGTCCACTTCTCTTGAGACATATTTAGTTTCATTAAGTAATTATTAAAACATGAGAGAACTTTCAAAGAGGCATTCTGGATGGCATCACTTTGCTTCTTAAATGATTCTCCTGTGTGACAATGTATTATCAAATCCTGATGCTTGGAAAATATTTTCACTTCACATTTGAAAGTTTCTTCGGATGGCCGCCTGTCCTTAGTGCCTCCATCGGTTGTACTAGAAAAAGCAGGTTCAGGTAACCGATGCTGACGACAAAATGTACAGAGAATATCCCTTGGTAACATGCCCCTCCAACTGCTTCGTGCTCCAAATTTTTCAGGCAATTCAGCTGCAAGTACGGCCTCCCGTGACAGCTTATATATCCCGGTGGGTACCTTATTCATAAGTAACCTGAAAAACAACTTACAGCCGTTATTTTATGTTAATTTGTGCTTCACCACTGTTCAGAATGATGTATGCATCATAAGCCAGCAAACCAAAGTAGCATGAACTTTGTTAATCTTTCAGACCCAATCTTTATCTCCCTTAGAAAGGTACCATGACATGACACGAAAACTATACTGCCACATTGTTCAAGATAATAGAACTAATTGCAATGATATTAGAAATAAGAAACATATCTCCCCCCTAATTTTCATTCTCACATGAATTGCAATAGTTTCTTTCTTTTCCTTTAGAGATGTCCCGTAAGTTGAAAAACTGCACTTTAAACAGTTTTTCATGTTAAATCACTTATTCCTTCCACCCTCCTTAGCAGCAGTGATTGAATTTGGTCCACAAGATACACTTTGGTTTAAACCAGCAAGGGTGTTTTGAAAATTCTACTGTTAGACTAACAACTTCTACTAATATGCATGTACAGCAAATGCTGCAAATCTTGTGGCACATAGTAATTCATTGCCGTAAGCAAATTAACTAGCTACCAGTACTATGTTACTGTATCAATCAACTAATTTCAAGAATTGACTGGAATGCTAATATACAAGTGAAGCTCCTACATGTTTAAGATCATATAATCAATCACCTAATAATGCAAAATGCCAGAATATCAAAATTCGTTCATGGCTACATAGCTTTCTTATCTTTTAAAGAATCCTAGGAACCCATGAACAGAACTTTAAATGTGATTCAATCATAACGTTGTTTTCTGCAAAAAAAGAACTAACTTCTAGATTGATGCAAATGAAGTAGTTTAAGAATAAAAGAACGAGAAATTCAGAAAAGCAACGGCGATAGAAACCTATAATACGTGCGTGAAGATACATCTTCATGGAAAAGATCACAAGACTTCCACATGTATCCAATAGTAGCCAAAATTGCATCCCCGTATATGTCCTGACCAGATAAGTAACTTGCCCTTGCATTTAAATATGCCTGATGATCTTTTACCTCCCTTTCTGACATCACATCTAACTGGAATGATTTGGGAGCATGGAAATACAATCTTGTTTCTGAAGAAGCTTTTCCAATACACCTGGATAAGAAAAAGCAACACATGATGTGAAGGAAAGAAACATGGTACAAAATATTTTCAACAGTGTTATCAAAAGCCTAGTTTTGATGTAGTTGAAGTTTTTAACCGACTGATCGTCATCACAATGTTTCTCATCATACATGATCAGTTTCAGCATGCCGAATATACTAAAAAGTGTCCTTAAGGAAAGAGTGGAATTTCATTAATATGTGAACGTGTGTGATCTAGACTGTCCGTAGATGGTGAACTTGCGCACAGCACACCATGCATATGTAGTTTATCACAAAATACAAAGGCAAAGCAGTGCAGATATCAACTAGCAGAACAGGCACAAAAGTAGAAACAGCAAGAATCAAGATTTAATAGATGAAACTAATTGTACATGGTTCACAACTCAAAATTGACTAAACAACCAAAAAAAGCATACACAGACACAGCTTAAAAACACAATAAGCTGGTTCAGCACACTAAGATAGAAATACCCTCATTTGACACTCAAGTTGGAGCATATATAGCAGAATGCCCAACTTGTAGCATAAAAGGTTAATTTGTTAATTTCAAAGTGATTTTGTCAAGACATGCCTGAAATAACCCTATTTATAAGACTCCATCTTCGTGTTTTCTTGGTCATTTGGAGGAGTATGGTTAGGAACTCATTGTAGTACCTTTTCTTTCGAAAGTTTTTTGTTCGATTAGGTAAAAGAAGGATGGCTCATCCTTGCCTATGCCTAGCTGGCCATCTAGGCACCCACTTAATCCGCTTTCTAGAACACTAATCTGGACATGGTATATGTACATGGAGATGTACATATTGGTGCAAAGACATTATTTTGTATTTGGAGATGGAGTGCACTCTTTCCCAACTCGTTACAACATTTTTTGTTCAAGGCTGACATGTGTAAAGCTAGATCAATGCTCAAGTACAAGATGATGTAGAAGAGCAAACGAATATTGGAAATTATTCACAAAAAACCTATTAGCCACTAGATCCAATTGTGCACATGGAACTTCAAACTCCAGTCAAGATTGACCAGAACCAAAATAATATACATATTGAAGAGAAAATACTTCCAGGCTTAGTTCAGCACAGCTTGGTCAATAAAAATTAAGATGACAAAAGATATTACAAATAAAGACAACAGCCCCCCTGCCCATAAATACAGAAAAAATTTCAAGAAAAACAGAGTGGAGAAACAAAACATGGTTTATTGAAATGAAATGCATATAATAGTTGTAAGTTTTGCCATACCTAGAGAGCAAAACCTTAGAAGCATCTGCAGCTCCAAGTTCTCGAGCAATGGCATCCATGTAATAATTATTTGAAGAAACATCTAGAGTCAGGGGCTCAATAATCTTCTCAGTCAAACATGGAACACGAATAACCTTGACGTAAGTTTCTTGCTTGCAAGAAACTTCTACAGATTGCAAAACTTCAGGAGGGTAAGGACTTGTTCTTCGCAATGAAAGAAGCTCTTTAGAAGCAAATACAGTATCAGATAATCTTGTGGCAGCATCCATAATCATCAACATTACCTCCAATGGTTTTGACTCAATGTCAGGTTTTATGCTCTTGCATAGATTAGCAACCTTTGAATCATAGATGGTCATCAAAGAAACAGGGACAAAACCATTGATGCAACCCTCTCTATGCAAAGCTGCTCGGAAGTGACCACTCAGAGGATGACAGGTTGAATAAAACTGTTTAAAGAATTAAGCACCAAAAAGCACATAAGTAAATAATGCTGAGAAGGTTTAATATTGACACAAAAAATTAGTTCGAGATACAAATCCATCAACAGCAAGCATATGTTTTGCTCCATAAAGCATTATATATAACAAAACTCTATTAGCTCATTGTCTTGCGAAATTCCTTGTCATCACCACTCATTGTAAATGAAAAGTAAAATACTACAAGAGACATAACGAATGAAAATGTATAGGTCCAAGTCTCACTAAAAAAACTACCACATTAAGAACAAAGGATAGAAAAAAGGGACTTAACTAAGGGACTATTTACCAAAAATTTTGAACAAGTGCTGACTCGGGTAAAAGTTCTGATTAGGATAAGAGATCTAACCCGGATAAGTGCCCACTAAAAATTATTGTTTATCAAATATTTTATATTAAGTGCTAATTAAATAAAAAAAAAATACTATTAAACCCTTTTTTAGAGGAAACTCCAGGCAATAACAATAAAACGGAAAAGGAGATACAAATGTTACGGCTTTAGCCAGAACCACAAAACAAACAAAGTACGACACCATGCCATACCAGGCAGCAACTAACCAAAAAAAGAGAAAGAGAAATAGAATAAAAGCGCATATAGAAAAAGATGTAGAATCTACGTCTCCAAACCAAGAGCCAATACACACCAAAGATCATCCGGGAGCAATCCTGATCACGCACCACCATACTTCACATCAACTTTCCTTCTATTTCTCCAAGCCATTCTTAGCAAGATGACATCTCTAATCTCCTGAATCTGCCAACTTGACGTTTTTGATTGTTAAACCCTTATCGTCTTTTCTTTTTACTTTAATAAATATTAATATTGTAAACTTGTCATTTCACGTTTCGCTTTCATCCCACACCACTTGTGTTCTCCCTTTTCTTTCTTTGTTTTAATTTTCAATTAATCCTAAACACAAAAAACATGCATGTGTCCTGTCCCACTGCCAGTGTTTTATCTCTTTTCTTTTTCTCTTATTTCCCAAGATAAAAACTCTCTCCTTCTTTGTTTTCCCAAGAGAAAATCAATCAACCAGATGAATTCAAAACCGGTTTCAGTAAGCCTTCTTGATTCCCACTACACCAAAGCTATCAAAGCTCGTTGAGAAAGTTTGTAGATATCTACATATGCTTCGCCAAGGATTTTCTTGTTGAGGGTTTGTTCTCTGTTAACCCACTTTTGTTTTTTGTTTGATTTAATGGGTTTTCTGATCTCATGCTTTTCCGATGTCCATTAGTGCTGATTGTGGTAGCGTTTTGAAGAGTGATGGAAAGAAAAGAAAGAAAGTGAGGGATAGGATAGGGTTTTGGAGGGAGTAAATAAGAAAAGGGTTAAAGACTGATCGTTACCCTGGAAAGATGCATTTTTTTCATTGACCCTAGCCAGCGTACGGTCAGCACAATCTCAGCAGTCAGCACATTGGTTTGTTGTTGGTAAACACCAAACCTCTTATTCGGTAAGAGGTGTTAAGAGATTAGTAAATAGCCCCCAACTGAATTTATAAATAAGAAACCCACGCAGGGTTCAATGTTGGATAATGATAAAGATAAGGCAAATAGCTGAGAGCTATGACCATTTATTTACTCTCAGATAAATATTCATAAACAGGGGCTTAATGGGAATTTGGTTGAAAGCATTCTTCTTTAAAATGTAATACAAGTAAGAGATCAAGACAGATCGTTTGAGGACTAAAGACATATGCCAACTTTAGAAACAAAGGTAAATGAAATGAATAATTAAATTTTACATGCACTTTAAAATACTTGTCTGGCAGTTCTACTATGTTCTCCTATGCAATCAAATCCATTTCCACCAAAGACAAGTTGTACCAAAAAGTATAGAGCTTTCAAAGTGCAATAACTGCAATATAACATACAATGGAAGAGTAACACAGATTAAGGCACTAAGCCATTGATGGTGACGCAAGTTTCTGCATTGTGTAGGATAATTAGGATTAAAGTAAGAAAATATTTTGGCTTTTGGCAACATAAAATATTTTGTCGGTGAAGCATAAAGATAACTCGTTATTATTCCATTCCATACAAGTCACCTACCTCATTTGAGAATAAATAGGATAGCCGGGCAACCAATTGATCTGATGGATCTTCAACAGGAGGATCACTTAACTGCAAAAGAAGAAAATCATGACTAGAATAAAAAAGAAGTCATTGCTTAAAACAGAAGTAGACTGAATTAAAAAGAGAAGATCGGGACATGGTGAGCACATAATTAAGGAATCAGTTATATGCAACTCTGGAAAAACTACAACCATAACCTTAAATCAGGATCCAGGACCTATGGGCTTCCTCTACTTCAGAGACAAGTTTCATTAATTAATGGTCAGCACAAACTGGTCGTCCCCCCCAAGGAACCACCTTTTGGGATGACTAAAAAGCTTATAGTTTATACATTCCATATTTCATTTATGTTCCTTCTTTTTTACTTTTGTACAAAATAGGCAGGTCACCAAGCAGAAATCCTTATCCTATGTGCTTCATGAGAAAAGGCAAAAAGTTATGCGGAGGAATGGTGATTCGTCGTTTCAACAGAATAATTCTTCTTTCAAAAGTAAGTTTTAGTGAAAGAATAACCACAACACTAGAATTTATTAAGTTATTTCAGAAGCTGTAATATTCAGAAATAGGGTAGAATAACTTAAAAATATGAACCTTATAAATAATTGCACCTTTGCCATTATTGATTATCCATAGTGTTTAGAAGACAACAAGACAGAACCTGGGCTATTGAATCCGTACAACTGCAAGGGTATTATTTCTAAGTGGAAACTAAAATGAGCCAGACCTATTTGAATGCGGCTCTTTCTATATGCCCATGGCCCAAACCTGACAACTGGAAGCTGTCATCCATAGGATTACCAATGTGTACTTTAGTTTAACTGGTCCTTTTTGGGACCGCTCCTAGGTCGTCACTGATACAAAATCGGTTCACAAATCCTTGGTCCTCACCGATCCAAAATCAGTTATACGGTCCTCTCTAAACCTCTACTACAACACAATATGTCTGAAAGCAATCAGATACGAAGTCCTAACATTGACAAGTGGAATGACCAATGAAATGCCACTTTAGCCAATATCTGCATGAATATAAGAAGATCATCTACAAAATTTGACACTCAAGTTCTAAAGCATATATGAATAGAAGTAGCAAACTTACATGATTAATTGGCAATGACGCAGTAAAGTACCACATTTTAAGACAGGTTCAAGTAATAGGTCACATGCTGTTGCTAAAATTATTTATCGCCACGATGAACCAGTTGCATCTCCAAACTAATTAACTACTATGCAATTTAAATGCCATACAATATGGATTTGAGTCGTAATTCCAGCTTAAACCGACTTCTTATTGACAGAATGAACCAGCTGCATCTCCTTGAAGAGAGCAAGAATCCATGCAACTATGTAATTTTGCTACATTTAATAATAGATCATATTTGATGCAGAAAGAACAAAGTGCAAATAAAGGTAATTTGAATAAACGCACAATTTTGAGAAGTGGTTACTCAAGTCAATGCGCAGTTTGAGCCATACTTGTACATGCAAATAACTTTAAGCTATATATATTTAGCGCAATTGATCACAAAAGGGAACAAACCTTCTCTACGGCCTTTTGTGCAGCAGATTGCATTGCGTCCTTTTTTCGCTTGAAGATCTCAGACACAACAGAAAATTCAGGAAGTTGCAAGCAACAGCGATACAAGCAAGGGCCTTTCTGTGAAATAGCCAAACCAGGACATCCATTTGACACAGATTCTTGAATCTCCTCAATATTATAATGTGCCTTATCCCCAAATCTCTGGTGTATAATAGCCTTAGGATTGACAATTGCCTTCTTTGGAGGTAACGAAGAATCTCCTGTTACCATTTTATACTTCTCCAATACCAAATAATCTTTCCTATTCTTTTCAGACAAGATCAATTAACAGCTGCAGAGAGGCCTATCATGCAACAAACACGTATAAGTCACTAGCGAAACATATGCTCATTTCTTGCAAGAGTTATCTAATTAGATCTACCCCTGCTTGGATGCAGAATCTTTCACTATGTTTTAAAAATTAAAATTGGAAGATGTTAATAACCTACTGCTCATCTACATCAAATCACAAAATATCAGGTTTGTAATTGACTACTATCAACTATGTTTCAACGATGTAGGTACATGGTACGTTGATAGAAAGAATTGAAAATTCTAAAATTTCAGGATACACGGGTGTGTTTACGTACTTGTATGTGTGTATATACAAATTTAAAATTGAACCAATAAAAGAACGAAGTTATTTCATGATTCATACATTTAATGTATAAGATAAATGCATATTGAAACCAGAAATCTTGTCATGCTTTTTACTTTTACTCATGTTTCCCTATCAGCGGTTCACAGATCTCTTTTTATTATGCTCCAACCATCAAAGAGGCTCTGCCAAAAATATTTACCAAGTGTTCTACATTGAACGAATGAGAAAACTACCATTATACTCTTCTATACTAAAGCATGTTTTTATGCCTATTTATTTACAATCATTTACTAGGACTACTTGAGCACCATACTCTTTATCAAACCATGAACAGTCACTACTGTGAGATCAGGTTGATGGTTTCACTTCAAACAAACATATTTTCCCATTCTTTTGATGATATAATCTTGCCTAATCATGTGTGTGACCCTAGTTTAAGCAACAGGAGCAGTGTTCACTGGCGCGTTCCATCAAACACCTAATGTGTATCAAAGCAAGCAGTAAAATCAAAGTAAAAATACAAGTATTGAATCGAATAGCAGCAGCACGCAAACTCACGTAAATAGATTAGGCGTTGATCGAATAGCAGCAGCACCAAGACAACAGTATCATCAATATGTACCACAGCAAGAAACAAATTCGCTGATCAAGAGAGATGGAGGGACAAATGGGGTGGGGTTTCAATGTTGTTTCAGACAAAGAGAACGACGGGAATTCGCTGTCGTTTGAAACGGCAAGGGCAGCGATTGGTAAGTAGGGTGAAGCAGCAGGTGAAGCCTAGGTGCAATTCAAGCAGCGATTGACCAAGGAAAACCATAAAGGGTTCAGTAAATATCAACTTTACCTTCACAATTGCAATGCAGAGAAATGGCGGTATCTATTGATACCCATAAAGGGTTTTGCGTATCAATAGTATTGTAATGAATCGAAAACGGATAACACAAATTCCAAACACTTGATCTTCTTGCAGGAGTGGGATTCCGATTCGACTTCTAGACAAAGAAACTGTCCTTGGGGTTTTAGAGAGGGAAAAAGCTGGTGCACTCCAGCTTTTGGGAATTTTTTTTTACTCCATGTACATAAAATCAAAAGAATAAAATATTATAACTCTCCTAGATAGGACATCTTTCTTGTTTTAGGGACACAAGTAGTGAATTCATTCGTTGACATGAGCGTCTTATGAAGTATCATATTAAGATACTTAGATATTTTAGACATCTTATAAGATTTGATGTTGTTATAGCAAAATGCTATAACTAAGCTTTTTCTTTTCACTAAAGTAAAGCATAAAATAATGGAATATATAAATTGATGGATTCGTCAACCAAATATGTATCAATATAAACTTTTTTTTGTTGTAGTGGTTGCTACTGCAAAAAATATTTCAATAATTTTCTCTTTTTAGTTAGATTATTTGTCATCATTCTTTGATCGTGAATCTCTTTTGGTAACCTATACGTTTAGCTAAAATGAAATACAAACATAATATCAATAAAAATTATACAAAATTTTATACATTATTAATATATATATATATATATATACAAACATATACATAATAAACATATATAAATAAAATTTTATAAAAATTATATATTAGCGGCGGGTTGGTGGGTTAGACGGGTTGTGCTAGGCCCAACCCAATTTCAACCTCCTAATTGACGGGTTAGCGGTTTGGCGGGTTAGCGGTTTGGCGGGTGGGCGTTTGGCGGTTAGACGGGTTAGGTTTAATTAGGTTGTTAATGGGTTGGGTTGGACGAGTTTCGCGGGTTGACAGTTTTTTGTACACCCTAGTTCTCTCTTTCCTTTTCTCTTCAAGTTTTTCCTTTTCCTTTCTTTTCTTTTCGGGTTTTTAAACTAAAAAACATAAAGTTAATGAACATTTTGTAAAAGAACTTGTACCTGATCAGAATCCAACATCTAAATCTGGTTTAACTTTGAAATCTTCATGTTGAGTGGGTACGCAGAGTCTTTGAATTTAGAAATTGGGAAAGGGATGGCTAGTCGAGGATGGATATCCATGGGTCACAAACTCATATAAAAACTGAGAACCCTACAAATTAAGTAATATGAATAATTTATATATGGGTGTGGGTTCATGTAGAAACCCTAAATAGTTTGCAAAACCATATACCAATTTCCTCCACCATTCATTTATTTAAATCGGAGAATAAATAAAATTGTGGCAATATTGGCAATATCGAATATGAATTTATGGAGAACATAAGAGTATTTCTTGAATGCGATTGTAAAACACAATTTGGTAGCAGGCGTAATAAAGGGACCGATTCTTGATTTCAAAGGGATTGACATCATTGATGAATTTCAAATGGATCAATCATCAAGAATTACTTAATACTTGATTAAATGGCGGTCATGATCGAGAGAAAAGTTACCGACCCTAACATCATTCATTTTTTTTCAGTTTGCGTGTCAAAAATTTATTTTCTAGGGTTTGTTCTCTTATGAATATCAGTGTTTGAGTGATACCAGTTATGAGGAAGATTGAAAGAATAGCGAAGCATAGATCAGTCAACAAATATGATAATACAAGGTCTAATCTTGTAATTGTAAACCATGAAGACTCATATACATGAACGGGAGAAAAGCAATCAATGAAAGAGAATGATGTTGTGAATATTCATAAAGAATAAAAATCCGACTAAACGCGGAGGTATCTTCAAACTCTTGATGTAAATGATCGATGTTTTTTGTTATATTAATGAGCATTGAAACCATTAAAACATGATGGATTGAGTTTCCTAGGAATTCACATTAGGAACTCAATACATCAGGTTCGTTCATCATGAATGTTGGTCTTGGAGGAATTAATAACTTATACTACAAGTGTTTTTAGAAAGGGTGAATACAAGCACGACAAATTTTCACTTTTTTTTAATTATGCATATTATATAAAAGCAAAAAATTACAGATTGTTGTCGAAACTAGGATGGAAAAACCTAACTTAAAACCACAAGGGTGATGCCTGATTAGTTTGAGCTTGGCTCCAAAGGTCAAAAGTGTCTGGAGGTCCCAGGTTCAAATCCAAGAAGAAACAAAAATCCCCTTGTAGCCATGGAGGTTCAAATGCAGTGACTCTGGGCTACCTGCAAAACTTGCAGGTGGTCGCCCTGGGATTAGTCAGCTCGCATAGCGGGTTGGATATCCAGGTTAATAAAAAAACCAATCCGACTGGTGACAATATTGCCCTAGAGAAATACTGAAAGAACACTCACAAGAATACCCTAACAATGATAGATATTAAAGGACTAAGATAGAATTTCATAGGGCTAGGCGTCGATTTGCAAAAATTTGGACTTAGAAATTATATAAAGGGGCAAGTTGCATATGAATCTAGAGACCGCCTTTTATATCAATCCATGTATTTAATACATGTATTCATCTGATTTGTTGATCCATCTACCTCTATACTTTTCATGTAAACCACTTGATATGATGTAGACATTTGTTGTTCCAACGAATCCTTTTATTATGAACAATATTATAAAGTAAGTATGGTACCAACAAAATAATAATTTAGAACTTAGCTTGTTTGACATGCAGAGTGTCTTCCCATACCAGGACGTAGGTTGGTGAGTTGAAACTTGGTCCCTAAGTTTTCACTTCAATTCACCGCATCCATGCTTTTCATGCGAGGAGTGAATGATAAAATAAGTAAAGGGTACTTACTTTGGCTGACATGTTGAACATGTTACCACACTTGGACTAGAGTTGGTAAGTGAAACTTGGTCCTTAACTCTTCCTTTCAAATCAACTTGCCAGATGATATTTGTCAAACTATCTAATTTATTAGGATTAAAATTTGGAGTACTTCATTTAATCTCCTCTGCAGTATTGGGCTTTGGCGATATTTATCAAAAGTTTCATATTTGACTTTTAAGTAGAGCGATAGAGACTTCATTTCTGATAAATTAAGAAGTCAGAAAGTTATATACGGATTTATCCTTCATCTTTTATGAAGTTTCGATAAAAGGATTTAGGAGGGTCTTGAATACATCCCTAATACTGAGCTTCATGTTATTCCTACCAAGAAACATGTCCCGACCATTGTACACGTGTGTTGCCCAGGACATAAGGGGCATGATGACTTGACGTCAAAATGATTCGCTTTCTAGTTGATCCCTCTAGAAGAAGGTCGTAAACGATGGATACTAGGTGTTGTTTATATTGACTCGTGTAGTGCATAGAATCTCCTAATTGTTTCAGAACAACTAGGTTAACTAATTGGCAAACTCCCAGAATAGCCGGAGCCATACCCAACCTAAAAAGGCTTAGCCAACTTAACTCACTATGGATAAAAAGATTGAGGGGGTCAGACAGGGCAGAGACTTTCATTGAATATGGGATTGAGATTACGACTGGAATGGAATTGTTGCGTTGATAGATCCAGATTTGCATCCTCCCATCTAAGAGATTTCTTCATGTAAGGTCGTGAGATATGTGGAACGATAAAAAATTGGGATCTATTAAGCTTTCACCTGCACTGCCTTCACCTAGGACATTAGAAAAGCCGAGAAAGGGCTTGTCGCTGATTCGAACTCCCCAATATATTTGAATTGATTTACAACGCCTATTTTCAAGCTTATAAAATGAATTGCTTCAATTAACTTCTAAGAGTGTCTCCTGTACAACTCGATATGAACAAGGTAGGCTGGTAGGTGGGTAGGCTTCCATCTGACTACTAAAACATGTAGTTCTCCCTTTAGCCTTAGGGTAAGCACAAAATCAATCAACAACTTCTAAAATGACTTACCAATCCACTTTGATGTCGATCCAACTTCATTTCGAATACTCTTCGATTCTGTTGAAGGCATTTTGCTTGATTAGATAACATATTACATAATTGGATTTAAAGACATTACAATAAAAATCCTATTTAAAAGGATGGTTGGGTATCTGAATTACAAGATGTATTTTAGATATACCAAAATCAGATCGTTCTCAATTTCGGATCATAGACCATCAGATCCTCTAACATTTTTGGATCCTCTTTGTATTCTTGACTTTGAGAGTTATTTCTTAGCTTTTCGAATTTATGTTAATCACTTTCTAACTCATTTGTCTTCCTCCTTATTCATTTGGTTTGATTCTACACAAATCGCGATGAAGTTCCAAGGGTTCAAATATCAGGTAATAGGTTACTCCTACAGCACGTCCTTGTACAATGCTTAAGGCTCTCGGTTTTACTAACATTTTGTGTAGCAAAGTGGTCACTTTATCCTGACAGTGGTGATGTGCAGATTTAAGAAAAAGAGCTTTTGCCATAAAAAATTTGATGTTGTTTAGAAAAGTAGAATATGAGCTTTAATGAAAGAAATGAACAAGACAGATGTTTCAAGTCAATGGAAGCTTCAATACTCCATCCAAAAGTTGCTTCTAATGCAATGTTACTGTAACACCCGTAAATTTAGAGCACTTAATTTATCTGCTTAGTTCCTTGTCTAGCGTGTGTGTGTGGGTACCTTTATACATATATATATATATATATTTATATTTATATATATATGCATGGTCATTAAGTACAAGGGAATAGATAGCTGGAAAGTGAAGGCTAGAAAGGGGGGGTTGCAGCCCTATAGCTCTATCATGTCTTATCTTCTAAAGAAAAGAAAGAAAAGGGGGGGAGGCGTGAGTCAGAGAAAGAAGAAAAGAGTAGAGAGGAAAGGAAGGAAAGAAAGGAGGGAAGAAAAGGGAGAGTAGAAAGGGGCAAGCATTMTAGAGTTGAAGAGGAAGAACACCCCTGCAGTCTGCTACCTTTCTTCGTGTTCCGGCTGTCCAAACAACCGTGCTGCTCTGCGTCTTCTTCAACAGCAAACAGCTCACAGCTGTTCTTCGCGATAACAAACAGCAGCTGCAGGCGCTGCTTTGTCTCACCGTCTCCGACGAACAACAGCAGCAAACAGCCCT